CAACTACACGAATGCAAACCTACTGTGGGACGGTTCCATTAACTGTTCTGTGTGCGCGTGCGAATTCGGAAGACTCTTTCCAAATGGGACATTTTGTTGCATGAATGGAAATTTGCCGATACCCTGACCACCGTCTCCGCGGCAATGTTTTACGGATTTCTAACAGAAGTACTGTATCTGGTATCAAATTTCGGTTCAGTAGCTGTATATATACGTTGTAAAAGTGGACTGCAAATTAAGAAGTAAGTATTTAAAGTTAGACGAAAAAATACATATTCGCAGGCTGTCAATGTTCGTCGTGCAACGAATCCGCCTTTGCGTGATCTACTGGGGAACGAAGCAAGTTTCGCCGAAGATTGTAAGCATATAGGAAGGACAGTTCATGATTATGTTGGTAATCGGTTACGGGCTAAATTCCGTTTTTCGCTGTTGCTTGATTCGAGACCACGCGTACTTTATCAAAATTTGATTTGAACTCTCACTCCGGGTCCCTAGGTTTTACTCATTGGCTCCCCTAACCAATCGATAGTTCCTCACGCTCATGGGCCCTTCAGCTTTCTCTGTTGATCACCTTACGATGTGTAATAGAGCGTTTCCTCATTCTTCAACATTTGAGAGTTATACGGGCAATTTTCTGGATTATGGTCCAGGTTAGGTAATGGTTTCTGACGAGAACTGCTTTGACGAAAAGTATGCCAACTCCGAGGAGCTGCCGCGATTGATCAGTCTATTAATCAGTTGAGCAATCACAATCATCAAAAAAGAGATTATGGCTGATATTTGTTCCGTGGGCAGAGCTCTATCGTTGAAAGAGCATTCATGCGCTCAAGTTTTCGGCTCTCAGTCGTACGATTTGCATTTGCGGTCCCCGCAGGGATGCAAACATACTGTTGTGGAGGATATATGCACATCGGAGAAAAGTAATAAATCGACCAAAGATCGGAGCTCCTGTAATGAGACACGCACATAGAGGGGGGGGGGCGGTAAAGTACGGAAATATCAACCGAGGCGATGTTTCAGACAATCTGCAACAAACAAGACAACATCTACAGTCCCCGGCTTGCAGTCTGCAGCTGACCATACAGATGATTCCAGTATTACCGAACCCGAGTGCTGTCAATCGGTATGTCGCTCTTGACGTTCCGGCATGAATGCCACAAAGAACTAGGAGTATGCCATGTCTGTCTGAAATAAGCTGACAGTGTGGATCTTGTATCGTCCCGCTGTGCGGTTTGCAGTCATCGTGTGCTGAAACCGCTTTTGTGAATACACGTTTGTTCACCCAACCGGATTTCTCGGCAACATTTGTGCGTACTGCCCATAAGTCCCAACTAAGACAAATGATCATCGAGAGCTCGTCATCCATCATTGATACCTGTCAACTAACTTTGATCATACCTTTGATTGAACAATGCGGATACGAACGTTCTTTTACCATTGTTCGCTCCATTCGTTATTCCTTTTTCCGGGCGCTAGTAATCTAGATTTAGAAGGCCAGTAGCACTCGACTCCGTCTTGGTACAACCCGTGCTCTGCCATTGCCGTTATTAGGGATTTCTGTAACCCGTATTCGGAAGGCACTTAAGGGACCGAATATCGGTGATCCTCAGGATAACCACACATCATTTGGGTTAAATATTGAAATCCAATTCGAGTTTAATGAATGTTTAAGGGCCGGTTGAAATTTGCCCTGCATTGAACTGCTTTTTGTACTTGACGTAATCTGTTTTGATGACACCCGATTGTCAGAGGTATGTTGAAGCCGAACGTGCTGTACACGTCGTGTTTTCTTTGTCCGACCTTTATACATCCCAGCAATTAAAGGTCGCATTCTGTCATGTATCTTTTCTCCGACTTTCCTCTTATATGTCAAGTTGTTTCTGCGTTTGTCAGTGGCACATTCTAACCTTTTCTCGCATCCACTATCCGATTCACATTCCAATGCCCAATTTTTTGTGATTCTCTAAAACCGGTCGGAAATGAAATGTTGATCAGTGACCACAACTGTAATCGCAAAGTGATATTTACCAACATCATTCTCGTTAGTCACGCGCTCCACCTATAATCCATCCAATATCTTCTCAACAAGCCATAACTGTTTGGTGTGACTGGTTCTTGTACTGTTTTTCTGATTTGTAAAGTTCGATGTCCGCCGTCTCAACTCGCTTGTTTACTATTTTACTTGGTCCAGATTTTCTTTTACACGTCATCAGAGGTCACATATTGAGTTCAATTCACTACCGCGCGAATACGAGATATGAATCTTGATACTCAGCATCCACGTCAAAATCAATCCATCACAAGTAACTCGTTGCAGTGGTCCTCCGAAATACTGCTCAGCATTGAAAAACGGTTGACATATCGGGTATACTGAGCGATTGTGAGACCTTGGGTTTACGTGTGTAGAATGACCGTCAACTAAATTTTGTCGATCGATCATATATGCATAGCAGTTTGAAACTACCAGACTAGTAACTAAGGTATTTTAGTGTTTTATTGAAAAGGTCTTGGTTAGACCGAATCTAAATGCATAATTTTCGCTGGTCAGCATATGTGCTACCCAACAGCCGTCCACAACAACACACCTCACATGCAGCAGCCTCCTCAGAGCTCAAGATATGATGTTGAAATGGAGTAAGCGTCTGTCGTCCTACAGACCAAGTTCTAAAACTCCGTTACCAGCTGGTTAGAGACACCGGAGGACATGGTTGCAAACTGAATCTTTCGGTATCGTGAATTTTAAGACCAGAATTTGTGTATATTCACGGTTTGACTGTGCTTTGTATCTATCACTTATCTCCCCCTCTGTTCATTCCTTTATCCTAACCATCTTAGCCAGAGTTGAAAGGCATTCTAGTTAGTCGTGTATGTTCGTGGTTTAAGGGACGTTCATGACTTTCTTGTTGAAAATGGATCATCATGGGGCACCAGAGTACAGTTTCCACCTCCGATAATCAAACCGAATGAGAAATCACTTCCATTATATGTAGTGTCTATTCTGGCATGCAATTCAACACGTGCAATCTGATGGGAGAATGTTTCTGTATATGTTTTGTCCTACCATTGTTTCATGGACTCGTTTCATGCGCAACACAGGTGTTTATGCTTTGTGATATTTGTTTGGGTGGATATTTTTCTTTTCAATTATTCTGGTGCAAATGTTGAATCATTCGTCTTTTGCATAATCACATTTTGGACCCATCTGTGCCTCACAGTCTACCACACGTAAACAAAACTCGGGGTCAAAATCAACTCATCCCCGAGATGATTCGGCGGCTCGGGCTAAAGCTCGCGAACGGTTGGCCATGGCTAAGCGTGAAATGCGTGCAAAGCAAATGGAGGCGATGGCCAACAACACTCAGGGCGCACATGTGACCACCGGTGGAGAAGACCTGTTCATCCTTGTCTGATCACACAAATCGAATTTCGAAGCGGGTTTCGCTTCTCGCAGGAGACATGTCCTTTCCAAATGGTCTCCAAAACATTTCGTGAATCACTTGTACAACGTGCCGTGCCGCCACCACCACCACCCTCCAACCGCCTCATATATGGACGAGAGTTACGAGAAAGCATTGTTCGAAGTTTTCACCAGTACCTGTTCTGTTTTGCCTTTTTGCTCATCCGGATCTTCTCGTTCTATTTCACGTTCGGTCTAACCGCACGAAATCGCCCCCTGAGCATGATAACTCTCCAGAACGCTCTCGTTGTCGACGAGGCCTTTTCGAAATGCAAAAGACATCAATTTTTTGTCAATGGTCAGTTTGTTTCTCGTTTTACGCCTTTCACGCAATGGTACAGCGCTATTTTGATTTTTTTTTTCGCTAGTCGAATTTCTAATTTGAATCCATGAAGTCCACCAATCATTTTATTTGCTTTGATTCACAAATAGAGTTGTGTGAATCGCGAAACGGACGTCACATTCACACTCATTCTTACCGTATATAGTTTGCCGTCCGTTCGCCTGATTTCTTTCCGGGCAATCGATATTGCATTCGAGCCGGCTTTCTTTTCTACACATTCATGCATTCATCTCTCCCTCTTATTCCTCATCTTCTCTATCCGAACAAAACCACATTCAATCGTTTCTTAAGCCATTTGCATTGTCTTTTTATACAGCTTGGCTCTCTGTCTCTTGATTGAATACCGATGGCGGCTGTTACAATCCGCTCGAAACACAAATAAGTTTTGGACGCTCCTCACTAGTCGGTTTTGTATGATAGTTGCTTTTAAATCGTACATCCGTCTGTGCACTCATGCTCTCACATATTTGGTTTTCTTATATCTTTGGAGAAAATCTCGACTGAAATCACTGCTGCCTTCGTCCCACGTGATTTATTCCATTTTTACCATCCCATTTCGTTCATTCTGCCCATTTTCAACTTCTGCCNCTGCCTACACATCTATACTTCCTCTACGGTTCTGTATATATACATATATTTATCTATATCTGAACAATGTTTCGCACGCTCGAATACAAATAATTCCGTTGCTTGTTTTCATTTCTCGGTCACATTCCCATCATTTTCGGCTGCTCGCATGACTGATCGGAGCAATATGTTACTGCAGGTCCCGTCTACGGAAGAGCGTACACATCCTCTCACCCTTATCTGGTCTATCGTGCGAAACAGATTTTCGGCGGAGTTCGGCGACATGGTTTATTGTTGTCCGAATTCACATGCTGATTTATTTGAGTCAGCAGTGACGCTTCACGTTCAGAACACTAATTCTCCCTAACGTAATCAGGCTGTCCGACCAAAAAGATGTAGCCTTCTCATTAGTAAGAGCAAAATAGAGATGTGCATGTAGTTCGGTGATACAACTCCTTGATTTGAAGTTTTGGCAGTCCTAAGAAACCAATAATAACAAAACTGGGTCGGACGGTCACATCGTTTTAAACCGCTCACTGTTCAGGTGGTCTCTGTTAGTTTCTATGTAAAAAAAATTACACTCGTGTGATGAACGGTAGACGGGGTAGGCGTCCTATTCACAGGTACCGACAGTTGAAACAGCTGTGAGAGCACTCTGGCTTCGTTCAAGTCTCGATTGGCTATTCTTAACATCATTCTCTGGCCGTTTGAACCTTTCTCTAATCTGAACTGGTGGAAAATCCTTTTCGATGGGATGATAAAGTTCAACGTTCCATGGCACACCCTACGTGGAACTTGCGAATCGAGCGGATTAACGTTTTCTTATTTTTTACACCGATTACTTTCATTACCATTTTTCTTCTACTCAACCACTTGCAATTCAGAATGATCAGTATCCGGGGCTCTCGTTTGCTATATCCATTTGTAATATCAATTCTGAAAAGTTCGGTAACTTTTTTCCTGTGCACGCTCTATCATCTGAGCTACGAGACCACACCGATGGCACTGATCTTTTCACATTGGAGTTACCCATTCAACTTACAGAGGTATGTGGCATCCACCAGTTAGCATGTAAGCTGACTGCGCCTGATTTTAACTCTGGCATTTAAGCACATGCATTGGTCAGGTGCTGTATAAACAGAAGTTTTATCTCATTGGACACTGGCTTGTTTGGCAGACATCGAATTATTAAATTCCCTCGGGCAAAGTGCCCACCAAAAGACAGATTCGAAACTACCCCATTTGTAGTCCTCCAATCTATACCGCTCGAATAAAGAAAACAGCAGACATTAATCAGCGATTGCAGTAGACTAGTTAGATTCTGATAACTTTTGTAGTCCCATATTCCTGTCAATTTGTCAGTATCCCGAATTCAACCAATTTGCCCGGTTGTAAATCTACATTGTGCGCGTCTAAGTTTCATTCGTGGGGTGTACACCGGTTTAACCGATTCAAGGGTGACAACCACCTATAGACTGACATTCTAACAACGGTTGTTCGACTGGTGACAGCTTGTGTTCCTCTCCGTGCATAAAAAGCACTGTTAGACATAAAAGTTTATCTGCATTCCAAACAAGACTTCTGTTTACATTATCCCATAAGCCCTTGTATCAAGTTGATTTATAATAAGTTCAGACTTCCAACTGGTCTGCTGTCAACCAGAAATACGATATTAAAAAATGCAATCCCCATTATTAGAAAGCATACACAAAAGTACCAGCTAATTGGTTCTCTATCTGTGATACCGTTTTTCGATGAAGATTCAACGGAATTCTGAAATAAGGTAGTTACGCCCATAATTGATAATTTTTTCGTCAAATACAGACTCAAACCCACGCACGGACGCCGCCTACGCTTTGTACGCGCACGCTCTACTAGCTGAGCTACGAGGCCACGCCGATAGCACTGATTTTTTCACATTCAAATTGCCGATCCAACTGACGGAGGCATACGCCATCCACCAATTAGCATGTAAGCTGACTGCCCCGACAGGCTTTCCTTCAAATTCACCGGGGTTCACGAATAAACATCTAAGACAGGGTTACTTGTAACACTGGGTCCCCTTTATCCATCGCATCAAAGCCGAAAGAAGACATGTCGCGAGAGGTTAACATTTCGTTTAATCTTCCCAATCGCTGACGTAAAACAAACAAGCACATTAGATTTGTAAATCCTAGTGAACGGACATGTACAGTTAGACAGGGACTATTAGAATTAAAAAAATACAGGTCAACTCCACGGCAAGTGAACTGATTGGATCAACAACTTTTGGGCGCACAGAACGGGATTGTGTAATCGGATTAGCAACGCCTCATTCGTCACCAACAGTTTTGCATTACAATTACGTAACAATGGTTTAAAAGAGAAAGCGGGATCAATTATGTGCTTGGCTGTCACGAGGTGTTTTGCAATTGATGATCCGGTGGGTTATGTGTGACCGCTTGATTACTGGGTGTGGGATGCGTCATCGACTTGACCAACCACTTTGGAATGTGTTCGGCCATCCGCTGTGATAATTGGTTCCGCCTATGTATGCGTCACTGCAAGTGCAGGTGAACTGGTACACTGTGTGTGAGACAGAACTAGATTGCCAACCATGTACATGTTTGTCCAAATGGATTCCACGAGTAGAGGCAATAAGTCGGAGTTGAGCAGCTGGGAATATGCGGTTGAGAGCTGACTTCAACTTTTGGCGCACATCGTTCAAAAGGTGATCGCCTTTAAAAGATAGTTTGATGTAAACGGCTTTCTAGGGAACAGTTGGCGATGGGTTACCTTTTTGAGATTTTTTACTGTGAATATCAATGAATCTTTCAGGGTAACTGTTTCGTAGTAACGTTTTTATCAGGAATTCTTCTTCTCGTGGTATGTCTAGGGAACAAATTCTTCTGGCGCGATGGAACAGGGTTTTTACGAGTCCACGTTTGTAAGCCATGGGTGAGAAGCTAGGGGACTGTAGATATTGACCACTCCATGTTGCTTTTCTGTGGATAGAACGCTGTAATGTACCATCTAAGCGTCTCGTAATTCTTATATCCAAAAATCCTAGAGAGTCATTGCTTTCTTCTTCGTGGGATACGGAAAAATTTGGACGAACAGAGTTAAATTGTATCAAAAGGGATTCAAAATGTTCACGCTGCATAAGAATAAA